GGGCATTAATAGGCAGAAGAACGTGGTACAATGGGATTTATATCTGCACTCCTATGATTGCTTATAAACACATGCTATTTTAGACTGACATCTTTCTCGAAATATAGACTTAAATAAACAAAAGTTCGGCCGCAGCTGAGGTGGTGTTCTTCTGCAGGCCTCAGACACAGTCAAGCATTTTTAAAAACGTGATTGGTGGGCTAAGAAGTTTATCCGCCTGGTTCCTCAAATTCCCAAACAGTTTATTTGAATACTGAGTGAATAGCTAATCTTGTACAAGTTCTGGGGCTTTAACAAGGTAAACGAATGGGTGGGCTGTGAAAGTAAACACTGCATTTCCTCCCAGGCTCACCCTGGCTTCCAAAATTCCTCTCCCTCACTCCTTTCGCTCTCCCCAGCCTTCTAGTTCCCAAGCTTGGTCTCTCGTATCCTGTGAAAGTACTGAAATTGCAAAGGAGACATTTTTAATTATAAGTACTACAGTAATGAATTCAAGTACACTCGTTTATCATAAAGGGCTTTCCCATCTGTCTCTAAAGTATACTTAAAAATGCTGTGTATTTGATAACATTAGCACCAAGCATCTTCCACATGTTAATATCCAGCGTTTTAGATGTTCGCTCCCCCCACCTCAAAAGACCGCACAGTGGTGGTTCCAGAAAGAGCACATTTATCTCTCCGTGTTTGGGAGTGCCTGTGTGGTCTCTTCCTAATTTATTTGCACTCCAATCCTTGGGGATCTCATCGCAATCCCTCTAGGCAAAGGGAGATTAGGGAATAGGACTGTCTGCTTCTCCCCACTCTGACAGAGAAGGGAGAACAACTTCCCCAAGTCCCACAAGTTCTTCTGGCCACTGTACAAATTGTTCTTGAGCATGGAGGGTTTCCAAAAGCCCTAATTAGCAACTCACAGCAAACATTTCTTTGCATTAGCTAATGATCCGGCTGCACTTGTAAGCAAACAGAACCAACATATCTAATCAATGCTGAAAAACCAACCAAATGCCTATTAAACATCTGGATGTAATTTTCTAGTTAGAACAAAATGAAAACATATGCAGGTTCCTTTGATCTTCGTCTTAACAAAGAAATTGTTGATAAAAAAGCATACTGGTCAGTCAATGTGTCATTTTCATAAAGTCTGCTCATTTCTCTTCAAATGCTCCCAGTTTAATTTAGTTGGTTTCCTGCAATCTCTAATTTTACCATATTGTGTGAAACCGCAAGAGATTCTTTGGAAGTGATTTTATTTGAGGTTTTACTGCTGCATGGATCTGCTACTGATTTTTTTTTCCTTCTCTGCCTTCTTCCCTCCACCTCCACGTCCATCTTGTCCTTTTCTTTGGTAAAGGGGTGGGGGAGAAAAAGATTACAAAGCAATGCTGGGAACAATTCTTCTGGACCTTACATTCTTAGGTTTAAGAAAACTCTCAATTAAAAAAAAAAGAAAAAGAAAACGTGGGGCAGGGTGGCTCACGCCTGTAATCCTGGCACTTTGGGAGGCCAAGGCAGTCGCATCACCTGATGTTAGAAGTTCGAGACCAGACTGGCCAACATGGTGAAACACTGTCTCCACTAAAAATACAAAAATTAGCCGGGCATGGTGGTGCATGCCTGTTATCCCAGCTGCTCAGAAGACTGAGGCACATGAATCGCTTGAACCTGGGAGGTGGAGGTTGCAATGAGCTGAGATCACAACCACTGCACTCCAGCCTGGGTGACAGAGAGAGACTCTGACTCAAAAAAAAAAAAAAAAAAAAAAAAAAAAGAGAAAATTAGCAATAATTCTCAGCTAAAATGAAGAGAACACAACAAAAGTGGTCTTTTAAAAACTATAATTATTAGCCAGGTGTGGTGGCTCACACCTGTAATCCCAGCACTTTGGGAGGCTGAGGAGGGCAGATCACGAGGTCAGGAGTTCGAGACCAGCCTGGCCAACATGGCAAAACCCTGTCTGTACTAAAAATACAAAAATTAGCCGGGTGTTGTGGCACACGCCTGTAGTCCCAGCTACTGGGGAGGCCGAGGCAAGAGAATCTTGAACCCAAGAGGCAGAGGTTGCAGTGAGCTGAGATGGCGCCATTGCACTTCAGCCTGGGGGACAGAGGGAGACTCAGTCTCAAAAAAAAAAAAAAAAATTACAATTATGATTTCAAATAAAAAAGTAATAGATTTGAAAGATGTCTAGTTGCTACAATCAGCATCCATAACTTTTCCTATTTTGTGTAGTATCTGTACTAGATAACATCTAGCTTTTGTAATTACTTAGGCTATTGCTGAGTTGAAAATTTGATAATAAGCAACAAATGAATGGGAATATACCCACATATACATCAAAAGAAAATGAACAAGCTGACAATCTTTCTGTTTCTCTGCAGAGCATAAAAAGGGTACCGTGTTTTTCAGAGAAAATTTCCAGTGGAAGCATCATACATTTCACATAAAAACATCATTGACATACGAATGTTAAAGGTACAGAAGATTACGGTTAACAGGCTTTAAATGGAAGACCAAAATTATAGATTTCATAAGGAGGACTATTTTCTTTTAAACAGGCTGTAGGCAATCTGCACATATATTATTTATTTAAAACATAAGATTAAAGCTACTTGACTGTTTAAACACCATCATTTGTAATGCAGTTTGATGAGAGTTTTGTAGTATAATTATTACAGCATGACAATCATGGAGAAAATATGACCTTGAAAAGGGCAGAGCCTTCTCCCACTCTGACAGACGATGCTCTAAATGGGAAGAAAAGGCTTCAAAAACCAAAACCAACCATTTTTATGCGCACAATTAAAGGCCTTCCAATTTTAAATTCATAATGATCTGTAGATACTAGATACTACATTATAAGGAAATCAGAAGGCCTGGTGTTTTCAAACTCTATTGGCAAGGAAAGACTAGTTAAAAGAGAATTTCCAGTGTTTACTCATGGCAAACTGGGAAATTTGGTGAGCAGACACATTGTCTGTGAGTAGATACATTAGAGAACATTTAAAGATGCCTTAGAACTGATTTTGAGGGCAGCGGGGTGGGGAAAGGAGAAGTAGCAACACTTTTGCCCCGTCTCAAAGCATATTTTAGTGGCTCTGTTTAAACTTAATGAGAGTGTGCCAGTTATTCAAGATACAGGCACCACGTAAAGCCTGGGTAAGCTGCGGAGGAGTATCAGTTGCTCCAGTTGTCACAGCATGTATACAAGCATACTTGTGGCATCCAAGCACTTTCTATCCAGTCCTGGAGCTGATAAGGGATGAACTGGCCGCAGACTGGAATATGTGGCTCGTACATTAGATGATTTCAAGGAAAACAGGTTGCTAAAGGCCTGGGGTCCTATGATTCCAAGAAGTCCTGTATGTCGAGCAAAACTCTCATCATCACCAAATTTAACCAAAGAAAGTGAGGCAGTGCTTTCTTCTTTTTTGTTCCCCATGTTAGCAAAATGAATAATACAGCCGCCTTCCCAACTGTACTTAATGAGAACACCACAAAGCTACAATGCCCAACTTGTTTAAGAATTTACTATGGCTTCGTACAGACAGGCTAAAATAGCTTTTTTATTTTTCATTTATAATTGATATTTGGGAGTGATGCAATTATAGACAAATCAATATCATACATATTTTAAAACAACTCCAACAATGAAATGTATTATCTAAAACAACTTCTAAAACTATTTCAAGAAAAAGATCTCTGTAAAAGCACATCTTTAAATAAAATGTATGTCTCTTTAAATAAGCTCCTTCCCATAAGTCTCTTGAAAGTAAAATAATGGGAACGTGGGGGTTATTAATACCAAAAACTTAACTAGTTTCCAACATAAGATAAATACTTGTCCAAGATGTGCCCTTATAGAAAAAGTTACCACCGTTTGGCTAAACCAGCATTATTCACTCACTGCTCATGTGGAAGTAGCTCCATTGGACTGTTCTTTAAACAAAAGTATAAATGCAGCAATACTGACAGTTTTCTGCTGTGGGTGTATTTAGAGACATACACAAAAACCGAAGACTCTCAGCATTAATTATACAGCGTGTCTTGATTATTACAATCTCAAAATCCCTTTTAACTCAAGTTCTACTTCATAAGAACCTTAGCCACGTCATTTACCTAACTCTTCCCATTTAGCTCTTCACACAGCTCAGCTCAGGAGTACCACCCAGACTATGGGGGTGGGGTGTGCGGGACAGGTTTTTCAAGTCTCAGTGCTGGTTTATTACATTGTCTCTCTTTGTTCCCAGGAATTGGAAACAGACTCGTGGTCTTGTAGCTGAGAGGCTCCTAAAAACCTCAGCCGCTCCCCTCCTCTCCTAACAGCGAAGTCTGGACTTTTAAGACGAAGACCTGGGATTTCACGCCCCGGGCAAAGCGTCTCATCTGCGGACACGCGTGCCTTGTTCTGGCAGCACCCTGGGAATCCTTCCCGCCAAACGGGGCAGGACGATCTTTTTGAAAAGTGGCTTGAAATCCTGCAATAAAAACCAAATCCTACCACTTTGGGTGCAAAGGGGGTGGGTGGGGTGGGAGGACATCATAGTCGTCTCTGCGGCTGGTGTACCTACGCCAACCGTGCCGTTACTCATTTACGCATTTCCAACTAAGTGTACAGTCCACTCCCTCTCGTACATCCGTAAAAAGGCAGCTCAAGGAAAAACAAACGTCAGATATATTTTTGAATGTGGCCTCACTTTCAGAGTAGCATCAAACAAGGGGGTCCAGCACTGAAAAACACATTTGCTCGAATTACCAAAACCCCCCCTCCGCCTCCAATAAGAAACTACGCAGCTAGTCTTTGAGTTACTTTCACTTAGATCTGAGGATTTTCATTAAAGGGAAAAGTGAGCAAGTGGCAGGATTTTTGCTAACTCGAGCCCCCAGCTTCCTCGGCTGCACGCTCGCCAGTCCCTCCCGCTAGCGCGCTCCTGCGCGCTCTCTAGCCAGCCCCACGTTACTTTGATTGACAGCCCAGCCCCGCCGCTCTCCTTCCCACCGACCTTCCCATCTTCAGTGCCAATCTCCGCGAATCGCCTCTTCCCATTGGATGGTTTTGCCGTCCCGCGGCTCCTCCAGGAACAGTTCCTCACCAAGCCCGGGAGAACGCGGCTGGCGGAGGAGGGGCCGGGGTGGGAGGGGAGACCGAGGAGACCGCGGAGAAGGAAGCGAGAGGACGGGGGAGGGAGAACGGCCCGTCCGGCGCTGCGCTGCCATAGGCTCCGGGGAGGCGCGCGTCAGCGCCCCACGTTGGGTGCAGCGCACGCGATTGGCTGATGAGGGCTTCCTGCCCCCCCACCACCTCCTGGGCCCACGTCCCCCGCCGGCTCGGAGCTCGCGCCCCCCGCCCGAGCGGGGCTGGGCGGGGCCGGCGCTGGTTAGCTCCGGAGTGTGAAACCGCGTGTTAATGTAACCGGCGCGAGAGGCGCGGGCGGCGGCGGCGGCGGCGGTGGGAGCGGCGGCTGCAGGAGCAGCAGCAGCAGCAGCAGCGGCGGGTACTCTGTACCCCGCGTCCCGGAGGCAGCCGACTGCGCCACCCCACCCTCGCACGGCCGGGCGGGACCCGCGCCACCAGCCCGGACCTCCGTCGTCCCGCGGCGACCAAAACCCCCGCTAGCCCCACCGCTGTGACTACTCCGGACTCGCCCGCAGAGTTTGCCCGCCGGGGAGGGTGGCCGATTGGCGGAGCGCACTCCTGCTGTTTTCCCCACCATCTCGTGGATGTCGTCCCTCGGGTGGTGAGAGAACTTTGCAGCGGGCTGGAGCGCCCTTTGCGGAGAAGCAGAAGAAGGTAAAGGAAGGAAAGAAAGAAGACCAAGGAAGAAGGGGCTCGGAAGAAGGGTCCAGAGCGGCCGAGCCGGCCGTGCAGGGCGAGTGCGCGCGAGGCGCGGCGCCCTGATGCTCCTCGGGCTCGAGGAGCAGCGGGCAGTTGCTGGACTGCTCTCGGTGGAGTAGCCCCGTCGGTCCCGGAGGGTTTGTGCAACGGCGGAGAACACCGAGTGTTGGTCGCACGGGGCGTGCCGAGTCGCCTCCCGGCGCGCCCTCCGCACTTTCCCCGCCTCGTCATCCCTCGCTCCCCAGCCAGGAGCCTCCGCCGCTTCCTCAACCTCGCTCCCCTTTGCGTCCCGGGAGCCTGCGAGCACCTGGCCGAAGGCGCAGCCGAGTCTTGCGGGAGTCGCCCCGAAAGCGTCGGGTTTGTTTGTGTGGGGTTAGCGGGGGCCGCCTCGCCACCTGCATCTCGCCCGCCGCCGCCTCGGGGAAAACCCGAAGAGGAGGCGGACCAGGAGAAGAGCAAAGAAAAGCAGCCCGTCTGGATTTGTTTGCCCAGGACTGGCGCCGCGCACGCGGATCGCCGAGGGGAGTGCGGTCGGAGTCACCGCGCCCCCGCCTCCCCGCCCCGGCGGCTGAGGCCGGGGGGTTGGAGCGCTGCCCCCGCGCACAGTCCCCGAGCGCCCGGCGTCTCCGCGCAGGTTCTCGAAGCAGCTGGGCCTGGGGCGCCCACCAATGTGGCCCTGAGGGCCGGAGCCCGCACCGACGGGAGCGGGAGCAGGAGCAGCTGGGGGCGCCGAGTGGCCGGTGCGCCCGGCCGAGCGCGCCTGCGTGCGTGGCCAGCGCGCTCCCCGCTTCTGCCTGGCTTCCCGGCTTAATTTTCCTCGGCGGGATTAAAGTTGGAAATTGACCGGAGAATTGAGTTGCCGGGGAACAGAGCCCCGGCCGCCGCCAGAGCGATGTTCCCGCAGAGCCGGCACCCGGTGAGGCGCGGCTGGGTGGTGGGGGAGCAGGAGCTTTGGGGAGGCGCTTCTCCCGGGCGGTAGGGAGACGGGTGGCTTCTGCGGCCCGGCGGACCCTCTCGCCCTCCGCGGCATAAGACTGGGGAGGTCTGGGGCCCTCTCCTCTTGGGGTGGGGAGTGGGCTGAAACTCTGAATTTTCTCCCTCCCTTTGGGCTCCTTCCTACTTGACGTCTATACTGAGCGGATAGGGGCGCTGGGGAAGGCTGGGGTTTCTCTCCTGTAGCCATATCCCCCCAACCTTCCCCAAGGGGGGCAGGGCGCCCCCCCTTTGTTTCTCGTCTCGCCTATTTACATGTCAATGCGGCCCCGGTTCCGGTGCGTCTGGAGGTGGCCCTGGCGACTCTGGGAATGGGGAGCGTAAAGGAGTTGTTTTTCTCTTCTGGTCCTCCGGGTCATTATCGCCCCCGTGGGGGAAGGGGCGGCGACACCGACAATCTGGCCTGGTCTTCCCTGGCCGCCGGGGAGCCCCCTTCGCTTTGGCCTGGTGACCCGGGCGCACTTAACGCGATCCGCCCTGGAGACTGGGAAGAGCTTCCGAGCCTCTTTAGAAGCCGGGGCCCGGGGAGGGTCCACTTTCCCCCTCCCCCAAGTGAAGGGCAAACTCGAGTTTGGGGCCTCATTTTCAGCCACTTCTAACTTTATTTTTTGTTTATGTCCCACCCGTTCTTTCCTTCTCTGACTTACTGCTTTATTCATCCGCCCGCATTCCCGTCCCTCGGTCCCCCTCGCTGGTCGCCCCCAGACGCCGCACCAGGCTGCAGGCCAGCCCTTCAAGTTCACTATCCCGGAGTCCCTGGACCGGATTAAAGAGGAATTCCAGTTCTTGCAGGCGCAGTATCACAGGTGCGTGTCTGGCCGCTCCAGGCGAGTGGTCGCGGGCGTCCCCGTGCCCCTTGTCGCCCAGCCGGGTGGCGGCGGCGCCTGTACTTAGTTCTTGCGTCCAGGCGGTGGCGTGTGGAGTCTCAGTTAAGACCTGTCATTCAAGTTACCCCCTTTCCTGGTTCTTCCCGGGCCGCCTCTTCTCTTGTCTCCTCCTCCTCCCATTGTTTCCCTTTTGCTGGTTTGCTGCTGTTCCAGGGAGTCCTTTTTCGTGTCTTTAGAAGTTGCATGAGAATCGTCAATATTTGCACTTCATGTATTTATTTTTCAACAGACTGAGTTGAAACATTGGTTCAATCGATGTCTCAGTCCTGGAGTGTGGGTTCAGGGAAGCAAAGCCATGTTGAAATCGCTGTTTGCCATACTAGAAAATTGGGTTTTTGAGGCAAAGTTCATTAAAGAAGGTTAGATGCTTTTAACATTGCCCATCATTGGCGATGGTGAGGGAGGTGGGTATAATAGTGTGCAGAAGAAAGCTCACCTGCTTTGGCATCATTTCAGGTTGGTTTGGGTAGGATGGGAGAGTGGAGTCACATTTATATCCATCTCAGCCTTAGTTTCTCTGAGTAATGAGGCTTGCCTCCAAAGGACTTATACATTTTTGTAAGATACTCTGCCAATAGTGAACTTCCCAGAAAGGTTAGTTTCTTTCCCTTGTTCCTATGAAGTTTTACCTGATTCTAACTCAGAAATAACTGTATTGACATTTTTTGGTTTTGTCGTGCTTGAGAAAAAGCACACAGATGAGGCGAAGTGGCTTGGGTGTGAATTTTCTTACTTTGTCAGGGGCTTTCTGATTATTGACCTTTTGTCTACTTGTAGATAATATCTCTGCAGCTTGAGGCATACTTGCACACACCGTGTTTACCCAGCAGGGAGAACTTCAACCCACTTTATTGCAGTAGCTACTTGACATATTTTGGCAGGGATTTAAAAACCAAAGGTTTTGAAAGGGACTAGCAATTGTAGGAGTAACTTAACAGATAGCATTTTCAAACCTAGAGACCGTTTGAGTTGGCAAAGATGGCACAGCCTATGCGTAAGAGTGAAGATTGTGCAAGGGCCGGATTTTGGTGGAGTCCAGAGAAACTGATGCAGGAAGGTAGGGAGCCAGATGACCATGAGGAGGAATCAGTTAGAGGTTCTGACAGATTTTTTGCATTCTTGTCATCTAACCAGATAGGCACCAAGAAGAATGGTAGCTGAATGGACACCTCGTATTGTTCACATTATTCCTTTTCCCTATTAAATGCAAGGACAAAGCTTTTGGGTGTTTACCTAGATAGTTTATGGCTTTTCCAAATTGGTCTGTGTTTTTACTTGAAGTGCAAATATGTGAGGCAGATGTTAAAACAAGTGACATAATGTTTACATTAAGTTGCCTGTTTTGTTTTCATAGCCTTAAATTGGAATGTGAGAAACTGGCAAGTGAAAAGACAGAAATGCAGAGGCACTATGTGATGGTAGGTATCAAAGAGTCGACTTTTTCCCTTTTCGTATGATATTAGCAAACGTGTTAGCAGAGTATAAAAAACGTGAGTTAATGAAATGCTTGATTCTTTTTTCTCTTTACAGTATTACGAAATGTCATACGGATTAAACATTGAAATGCATAAACAGGTAAGCTTTAGTTGAACTTCAAGCTGAAATGAGAAATCAGTTCGTATGATTTTATAATACTGGCTTTGTTCTCAGTAGTGGGCTCTAGGAGTGGGGGTTTGTATGCTATTTTTCTGCCTTGGTTTCCTGTCCTGTGGATTGATGGTAGTATTCTGCAGCAAGAGTTGCTTCCTGATAATTACGAGTGTTTAAATGACTAGGAGAAAGAGAGGTGTTTTGGAAATATAAACTAGCCTGTTTATTGGCAGATAGGAATTGAGACTTGAGTTTACTTTTCCACCTGTATAGATTTATCCTCTTGAAAGGGCTGGGTATCTTATAGAGTTGTTGGAGTTTAGAATAGTTAATGTTTTTGTGCTGTTTTGCAAGGACGTGTGGACCTGTAGGGGGAAAGAAGGGTATTCAGGAGTTTCTTTAATCATAGTAAACAAGGTATATGACTATCTGTGGGGAGTATTCCTTATGCTTTGGGTCTGCTCGAAGCAACAGTCAGGATTAGTGGCTTATTAGCAAACAAATTTTTGAAAAATTTCTCAGTTGTTGCAGGTTTGGATGTGAAAAAAGCATCTTTTTATGGCCAGAGCATATGTTGGGAGTTGCTTCAGTCCTAGTGGTTTTAAAAGCATGAAAAGATTAGTGACTGGAAAGCTCTAGCAATGACTATGAGTTTGCAAGTTCCCATAAAATTCACACTTATGGCTACTATAATGGTGTATAAAAAGAGTATTGAGCTGGAACAAGGCACTAAGGACCTCATAAGAGAAGAAAAGCTAAATGATTGCTCAGCCCAAAGGACCCTCGATTGAGTAGTCATTGTCTGCCAAAGAAAGCATTAATGGCAG